TGGAAAAATAAGCATCTGTTCTTGCTAATGCTGATGGCCTTCTAAAAATCATTAAACTATTCTAAATTGGCGACGATAAAACAAAGCAGAACTGTTTTAATGTTTTCCAAAGCAAAGAGAAAATCCATTTCCCTTGTAAATACTTCTTTGTTCCAGATTTGCCTAGTAGCCTATATCTCATAAGGCATGTCTCCCTTACGAGCTGCCTAAATCCCATTCTCCCACAACCATCTAGCTTGAACTCAGTGTCTTTTAAACCTGGGTTGGTAAAGGTTAGTCTTCACTGCATCAACACAGGCTGTAGCTCCTGAGTCCTGCCCACCTCTCCTCCAGTCACAGACTCAAAGGAACTGGTGCGTGGGGCATAGCTGAAACACAGGCGTCAGCTCCAGTCTCCTTTCGGCCTCAGCGAGAGACTGGGCTGGTTTGCAGTGGGAGTAGCTCGCACAGCTTCATTCTTCAAGGGCTACCCTAAAATTTTAGCTGGGCTACACTTTCTTCGTTCGCTTATTCTTTCTGCTATATTGCATTTTAAATCCACCTTCGCTTGTTCTAGATACTTAACACTTAGGCAGTTTAAGGACTGAGATGCTATTTAAGAATATTCTTAATAACTTTTCAGAGGTATCAGCCCAGGTTTGGACACAGAGCAAGACACAGACAAATCATGAAACAAAATGAAACATCTCCTAACAAGAAAGCTGAAGATCCTGGAGGTCCGGTACAGATGGTAGAGAAGAACTTTATGTTATACTTAATCTTTCCTGCAAAAAGACTGAGGGCTCCAGTAGTGAAACCAAAAGCAACACAGGAATATAATGGATTGATTGCCTAGCTTGGTATCCAAATACAGTAGAAAATGCTAGTCTCGGCTCAATGATTTGCTCTATCCTGGTTCTCATCTATATCATGGGTGACTTCTACTACCACCTCCACCACATGTAGTCAAGAGACAACACCTGGTAAAGACCAGGTTACCCAGAGCAGCACGGGGAAGATGAATTTCTGATATATGAAATGCACACAGCCAGATGGTGCCTATTTCACCGTAGCCATATGCCACAAATGGTAAGTGAAGAACCAACTTAATGCTAAAATCTGGTGCTGTTTGTATAAAATCTTTTTTTTTTCCTCCTATTGTGCTTCCGTTTTGGTGGAGTGGGTGTAAAAGGAAGGGGAATGTTACTTCTTTCTGAGCTTTTTATTTCTATGTTGTCAAGTTACTGCAGTGATCATTGCTCACTTTACCGAGGTTGCTAAGCGGTGGTATTTTCTACTGCTTGAGTCAATAAAGTCAGTGGGTTACTGGTTCACAAACTATAAGGAGACGACTTTCAAAAAAAGGGTTTTTAATAAAGTCCTAAGATAAACACATATTGTTTAATCATTAAACTCATCAAATTATGAAATAAATTGAAACCTTGGAGTAAAAATGGACTCAAACGCTGTGATTGTATCATCTGCTGAAGTAATCCACCAAGCCAGCATCATACACGTAACATCATTACGACAATTCCCATTTGAAGCAGGGATGCAGGCATTTTGCTCATCTGCTTGTGATCTTGGAGACAAACTCAGAATCACAGGGGTTCCTTCTGGCCCCTGCTCTTTGCCAGTAATTCAGCACTGGCATCAAGCAACTCCTGAGAAAGCCTCCGCCCCTTTGCCTCACCGACAGCAGTATCGCAGAGGACACCACGGGAACACGAAGGCGACAAGGCACACCGGCACCCGAGTGGGATCTGACCCAGCACCAGCCTGCCGTCCCTCCAAGCACACAGGCTTGCCTTCATGCAACAACTGCCCAGGGTGTGATTAGACTCGCTCTACTGGCTGCTCTCTCATCAGGCCAACACTGCAAGAGCCAGGAGAGCGGGGAGGAGTAGCTGGGTGTCCCACACAGCACTGCATGTATGCATGGCCAAACAACATCCACATTCCCCCAGCAAGGTCCTTTCTGTGAATCCCACCTTGGAGGTCATGAACCACAAGGGATAGCCAATCAAGGCACAACTACTGAGAAAACACCTTTTCTGGCTGACATATTCACATGCCCTGCAGGAAAGCGTTCAATATCCCTACAAGAAGTAGGCATATATCCTTAGAACCCACAATTAATTTAATCTTGAGTTCAATAAAGTTTTGCAGTAATGGCCCTGTAAACACCCATCACCATTAATGTGGAGGACCCGCCAAGACCGGGCTGCTTCGCTATCACGTGTGGCAGCCTCCCACACTGCAAGAGCAACCTGAGCAGCAAGCCCCCTCGCTTCACCACGCATTGTATGGCCTGGCTCCAAAAGGGCAAAGCGAGATCATCACACAGCACCACGAGGGAATTTTTCTGTTGCCACTGGAAAGGGTTGGAAGCTGATGCTAGATAAAATCAAACTAAAAATTAGGTGCATGCTGTCACAGGAAGGTGTAACTACTAGCATAGCTGTGGGAGGTTCTTCACCATGATCTGTTTTAAAATCAGTATGATGTTTATTTGAAATACAGGCTCAGACTTAAAGAGACAATTCAAAGTGGTCCTGTAGCCCCTCTCAGACCAAAGATCAGATGATATTATCCCAGCTCCTGCAAAGCTTCATTAGCGAGGCAAGGCAACTCAGTGCTCTCCGGTCCGATCGCTCAGTGCTCACCACCCTGGTCAAGGGCCACTGGTGCTCCAGACTCTGTTGATTTCACTCCTCCACAACTGACACAGCCTTCAGGATCCCCTAATCACAGATAAAACTTTCTTTTCACAGCCCTTAAACCATGTCTCACTTTTGCCCTTGCAGCAAACCTAGAGCCAATAGCAGATACCAAGCAGGTACAGCAAAAAACTCAGCTGTCTTCCTACAGGTTTTGGAAAAGTTTGCCTAGTCTTGTCTGGTGTTCAGCATCCTAAATGATGAAGCTTTGGCCACTATCTTCAGAAGACTCAAAATGCCATCTTAGTTTGGAAATTTTCAAAGTAGAAATCACATCTCCCAGTTTACGCATACTTTGTGATGAAGGTGCAACTCTGGGCACTGTAACACCACAGACAGACATTGCCATTTCAAATTCATACTATTTGGATCACACTGTAGTTCCCACTCCATGCTTCCCAGTTATGATATTCATCTTCCCAAAGAGCTCCACGCTGTTTTGGGTAATCACATCCTTCAAACACTTGTCCCTGTTATGTCTACCAACATCTACATATTCAAAACAGTCTCTGAAGCACATGCTAAACATCTGTTTCAACCACCTTTCTCTTTAGAGTTTAAGTCGTTTGCTGGAAAATTGCCATCCTGATGGTTAGCTCCTCTGTTAGTGAACTGGAGAATTCATTTGGTATTTATTGATTGTTCCCTAATGAAGAGTCATAAAGGTGCCAGAGACTCTTGACCAGACACTACTTAATTAGTACCAAAGCGCATAAAATCCCAAATCAAACCGAGCTCTTTGTCCAACGGCTCAGTCACTGGAAAAGAAAAAGATGACATCATTTTCTGTTTACACAGAAGTCCGTAAAATTTTATTAAAAAAAACCCTAAGGAAATTAAAAAAGTATATACATTGTTCATTTCCTTGCAGTTCCTAAGACACCAAATAGGTCTTCCAGAATCAAATCACACTTTGCTAAAGGAAGTATTCCTCATAAAGGACCCAGCAATATGCATCATGCATAGAATTTATTTTTAACTAGACAAAGGCAAATACCAGTAAAACATCTGTCTTCTGAACAATACAGAGAAAGGTTTGTGTTACATACAAAGACATAATGCAAAGCATCCAGAAGGTATTAAGAATTACCTCTAATGGATCTGCCTTTTTACCACCATGGCTCATACAATAGTCCAACTTTTATGTTCCCTCAGACTACGCTGCATTGGAGTATTTTCTGAGGGTACTTGCTCTCAAGAAGGCAGAGAGATAAGCAAGAACTCCATTAAACATCAAGGTTTTTTTTTTCCTCTCAAACTTAAAGCCTCAGAAACATCCTGAATAACTGATGTCTCCTTGCAAGTCTTTCAAAATTAAGTCATCCTGAAAGTTAATTCCCTCTTTTCCATATCATTTCAATTCTCAATTAAATAATTGAGAAAATAGCAGGAAGGAAAAAAGCCAACTAACAGGAGGAGGCAAAAGCTCATCCCTACAAGGCAATAGCATTGCTGCTTATATTATGTTCTCTGCTTGTTGAAGGCATCTGTCTTCAGAGCAGTAAGGTGGCTTGGATTCTTTGGGATAATGTACGATGCACACAAGGAAATAAAGATCCATGATAACACAAAATCCATTAAATACAGACACCTTCATAGTAATCTACAATCCCTGATGTATTTATTACCACATGTTAGAAAATACCCTTAGTATGTCCAAAAACATAGTCCTCCATTTTCCTAAAATCTACAACTCCAATGCCAAACACTTGTTCTGCAAAAAATTCAAAATCCTATTCACGACCTCTGTCCTGTATTCAGCAGTCAGCATGACACAAACTTTAACCATCCGAAGTTTCTAGCCCTCTTATCATAATGATAAACAAGTGTTTTCCACCAGAAAGAGAGCAGGTTTGCACAAACAGAAAAGGGAATAGGACAAGCATACAAAGGACGAAAACAACCACAGTAAGGCAAATATCCCAAGAAGGCAGAATAGCAAAGATACGTATGGGCTTCTCAGACATATGAATTCAGCTTCTTTACCATAATCCATTATTCTTTCCTGTTTTTTTTTTTAAACTGCACCTTTCTTTATAATTGTAAAATTTACACCAACAGCATCTCGGCTATCCCACATAATTTCAATGTCTTCCATGGAGTTTTGTTTTGTGCTCCCAGCAGATGAGACAAGATGCTCACCAGTACATCTCCCAAGAAAATGAGCTCCAAAACGGTAGAAATTAAGAAAAACGTAGAAAAGCAAATGACAATACAACGGGAAGGACAGCTAACCACAGAGTAGCTCAGGAAGGGTCACCAGTGCGCTGCAGAGTGAGGCCGCACAGAAACCTCGCTTACCCCTTGCTCGGATTCCAGCAGCTCTGTTTTGACTCTGACTGCCGGCATCCCATCAAGCATTAACATTCTGTTCTCAAAGGCGCTGATGTCCTAAGGCAAAAAAAAGACAAGGTTAATCAAAAAAATTATGAAAAACACTTGGTTTAATTCACTGGTTTAGTTCTCTGACATTGTAGAAGTAAGTTTCTTTTAGCAGAAATAAAGTTAACGAAGCTGTAATATTAATTTCAAGGAGCAGCTATCAAGTTATTATTTCTGTTAAAATAGTAAATTATACTTTCAGTTATCCTTAAAAGAGAACTAAGTCTTTCTAAGCAATACGGGAAAATCATCTCCAATTACTATTTTTTTATTTTTAAATTAATCACACAGGTGCACATATATAAATTCCTTGCTTTAGAACTGGAAAGGAGAGCAGTGATGTCACATAGCTTCAGGTTTTTGGCAGCATACTTAGGTATATTTGATTTCAATCAAAACATTTATACTTCTGTATTATCTAGAGAAAGCATACGCTTAAATCCAGAGAAGTTACAGTGAGGGCCTGTACACACCCACACCCCCCATAAATTAACACGCATCAACAACTCCTCAGATTTCATATAATTCATTATCCTGTAAAGTTATCAGCATTTGTCAATGAAAATCTCCACGTGTGAGTCTTGTGTCTCTGACACAAAAGAAAAAAAAGCATGTTAAAAACGTGCGTTGTCCTTGTAGTAACGGGCAACATATGCTGAGAGCTTCAATCTGAAGTGAGATTTGCAGAACTGTGCTTCCTTGAATCAACATCCCTGCTCTGAATGTCTCATCCCACTGTTGCTGGAGCCGTTTACGTCGACATGCAAAACAACCTCTTGCACCTTCAGTTCAAACACTACCTCAACCTGAGTCAATTTGCTATCCCAGCCAAGGCTCAAGGATGGTCTTTGAAAGCTATTCCCTTCAGCTGCCATGTTTGGACAACATGGAGAGAATAAAAGACATTTTATCCCTCAAGCTAGAATCTGACCTTATGAATCCTGACACCTTGGTCAGGGGTACAGAAACACGAAGACGTCACAGCTGTTTTTCAAACAGTGAAACTCCAGCGCACATCACTTGTGACTCATTCACAGGCGCTTACGTATCTGCAGCCCCGTCTAGAAGGCAGCACTCGAGACTGGAAACTCACCTCTGCTCTAACCGTTACCTCCCAGTCCTCAGTAACTCCACCACAGTGGAAAAAACGCTTTCCCTGTGTTTCATGGGCAGCAGATCTGTTCAGTACTGCATGGTGCGATTATTCAAAAGGAATATGTTCACAGCCCTGTTTCTTATCATGGCTGCTTCAAGAGAATTTTAAGAAAAACGGTCTGTCCTAATGGAGCTTCCAAATATATTTTAAAAACTTAAGATTACTTTAAACATTTTCTTTTTCACAATTAATGCACCTCATCCCAGGATCCTCATTTTCAGGGATATAAATATTGCAGCAACTGTTTATTTCTGTATATTCCTTTACTTTATTGTAATTTAAATAACACTCTGAAAAGCAGGGAAACCGATAGGCCCGTGCTCCAACACGGTGCCACAGGCAGAGCAAATGACCTGCCTGAAATCCCCGTCTCCCTCACTCTGAACCCCGGGTGTTACAGCACACAGAGCCGCGGTTTGATACTACAGGGCAGGCAGGAACTCGATGGTAAAGCAGATAAACAAATGCAACAGGAAATGCAACCTCTGTTTTTTTTTCCTTAAAAAGTAGATTTAGATAGTTCATAAAAAGTTCTAAACACTTAAGTTATAAAATTTCAGATCGAACAAGTAATTTTCAGCAGAACACCTCCACATTCAAACGTGTGAATGAAGACGAGTCAAGCTGTTGAGGTGTCCCGGTCCATGCTGTGCATCTACTGTATTTTAAGCTTGACACAACAGGAAGAAGAAGAAGAAAAAAATGGCCTTCCTACGTCTTCTCAGCAATTTATTTTGGGCACCTTGATCTTTATTCAGCGTTCGAGGCATGAGGTGGGGAAAGAGCAGGAGGGACTCTGATGCCACAAAACAGCTGGCTGAAATTGTTCCAGGCTTTACATCCCTCTTCCCAGCAAGGGCAGCGCACCGTTTGCTTATCAGAAGCGGATCTCAGGCGTCTCTGAGCTCCAGCGGCTTGGATGTGGTTTGGGGTGGAGCAAGAAGAGCAGTAGCCATCCCCCAGTGTCTATTCTGCAAGCAGAGAGGTCCCTCTCCCTTCTTGATTTATACACAGCACAGTTGAGTTTTACAGCAAGATCAGGAATATACCATCATCAAGCATCCCTTAGGCCGTTTAGCTTGTAGACAAAGAAGGATGAGCTGATATTGCTTCGTGTCCCTGAGGAGGTCTTACCCGCCCGAACGAAGGGACGAGGCTGGCTTGTGCAGGAGGCGCAGGCAGGAGGAGGGGGGGGAAGACAAAGCGCCGCCAAGGAAAGGCAGGTTTAATGAACTGTTAGAATCTGATTAGAGGCTAATGTCCCTTTTAGTGCTTTGTACCAATTTACAGCTGATATACTTGAACCATTTTTCCCCACTGGCTGTGATAAACTCATTAGTTTTAAAAATGCAAGCTAACCAGAGCCTTTGAAGTTTAAAACTGATAAATCATGAAAACCTGACTAGTTCATGTACCATTTAACACATTTACATTTAACTAAATTTTCATAGGGCTCACTTCCCCTTTTGTTCTCTAAAATCATATTTCTTAAATGCAGCACTCTGCCTTTTGAGCACTGGTCTGAAGAGTGAATGCAGTGAATAGCTCTGGCTTTTGGGTCATTTATAATTCAGAGTAGCAATAACCACAGAAGTAGATTCTTTCCAAACTATTTGATCCCTTCTGCATTTATAATTGGAAGGACATTTCTGTGATACAACCTGGGGGGCCCACTGCCTGGTAACAGCCGAGTAGATCCCGTCTGTGTGCTATACGTATGGATGACATGTTTAGCCCAACAGTCACCCAGAGAGCTGATCTCTCCAAACTGCGCTCTCCCGCCATAACCCGCGTTTGCGCTACAGGATGTTCAAAACCATTCAGCAAATAGGATGTAATTGCTGAGGTTTGCATATGGTGGGCAGTCATCTAAGGCAAAGGGGTTTGACTCATCCCCACAGGGGCTGGGGGTGTGAATTGAGCTCCCCTGGGAGCCTCTCCGGTCGGCCAGGCAGATGGAGCATCCACACCTGAGTGAGGCCAGGCTGCTCCAGCGCCCCACGTTAACTGATGACACTCAGGAGACCCACCAGCAGATTGCCAATATGATGTACTGAGTCAATGCATTTTTCAGGCTGCAGTCCCCTCCTGGCTCACTCAACTCTTCATCAACTGTGGCAGCTAACTTCCAGCTCCCAACATTGCCCAGACGAAGGTGACCTGAATTCGTGTGACAGCCCTTCCTTCTCTATTCTCCTACCTCCCACCCCAACCCACCTGGTGGACTCCAGTCACCCACCTAGGTAAAACACATCGCAGATGTACGTCCTGAACTGGGCACATAATCAAGCCAAACACTGCATGACCTTACCTAAGCATCTGTTCTCTTGGATCAATAAACTAACTCATCCTAAAAGAGATCAACCTCTCTTTCTCGGTGCCATCCCTTTGAGCCTTTCACTAATCACATTTATTCCCTTGAAAGATTAACTAAAAACACAAATCATACCCAGGTCCGTATGGGCAACTGCTATTAGAGCCATTGTTATAGAAGACAAGTAAGTTTTCAGGCTTACAAGCTCTTGTTCTGAGAAGCTATGGCAATCAGTCCACTAACAAGACTCTTCCCCCTCCTAAAAGGCCTACATTTTCAGTACAGCACCCGCTGCAACTACAACCGGCATCTTCTTCATGCAGATGACTTTCTGTTGGAAGTTTTAATCAAATTATCTTTGGCTACTTCAGAGGAAGAAAAAACAAAAACTCATATCTAATCCTGGTACAAAACCCCCCAGCATCCTGTAGTGCTTATTTAATTATGAATTACACTATTATGAAATTTGGCTCCATCCATGAGAAGGGCTGTGGTTTTGTAGCCAAGTTTTTAATTTGGCCAAGCCATATGTTTGAGAATCGCGCTGCAAACTTTTAACAACAACAAAGGAGCTGGTACCACAACCAAGCTCCTGTCCTGAGACGCCACCAAAGACCTTAAACCCACTCCATAATTTCTTCTAAGCACAAGATGACAGAAACTGTACATCCCCATCCCACGCCACAGTTGTCTCTCCCACTCTCCAAAATTTTCACGTCTAGCTGCTCAGTACTAAAGCATCAGAAATGAAACGATGGTCTCCCAGACCTGGCCAGACTGTGATGGGCACAACCCCACGCAGCCCCAGGAAGAAAGCAGTGAGCTCAGGCTTCAGAGCACCCAGCATCCAGATCTCACATTTCCTGCGTGGATCAACAAACCTTTATGTTCCTGTGCGAGACAGACTCCTCCTCTTGTTTCATCTCATTAACACAAGAGATATACGGAAGCAAGATGGACGATGCTAGTTACTGCTGTCACTAATGAAGTTAACGGGCTTACTTAGTCACGCTGAAGAGCTGCACACTGGCAAGACAAAGCCACTGATGGCTCTGAACTTTTCTGTGAGACACCAAAAATGTTCAGCTGACAATTCAATGCTTCGTAACTCTGGTGGGTTGACCTTAGCCGGCTGCCAGATGCCCACCCAGCCACTCTTGCACTCCTTCTCCTCAACAGGACAGGGGAAGAAAGTAAGATGGAAAAGCTCGAGATGACTTACGAGGTACTGTCACGGGCAAACCAGACTTGATTTGGGGAAAATTAGTTTAATTTATTGCCAATTAAAATAGAGTTGGATGGTGAGAAACAAAGACAAAAACTAAAACACCTCCCGCTACCCCTCCCTTCTTCCCAGGCCCAACCTCATTCCTTCATTCCAACTCTTCCTTTACTTTTCTGTACAAACTTATCTTCTAACATGACACACTTTCACTTTTGAGAAATGAAGTATCAGTTGGGGAAAGGGCAGTCTCAAATTCAACATTCAAGCTACAGTAAAAAGTTTCGAGTTCAAGGGGAGTCTGTTTTAATAGCTAA